TATATATATATATATATTTTAGGAGGGGGCATATTATTTGACTGACCTTCTTTTTGCTCTGATTGCCACAGTGAGCGAACGGAAAAAGATCGAGGACAATGTGAGATTACACGGAGCTTCGTACCATCCTGACCTGACACAGTCGGTATCACACCTCGTTGCTGCGATCTCCTCTGGTAAGAAGTACGAATTTGCTAGGAACAATGGTATCAGCATTGTTACGGTTGAATGGCTGTACGACAGTTTGGAGCGAGGAATGGCCTTGGATGAGAGCTTCTATGATCGAGAGCTACCTCGAGAGATGATCGGTGTTGGCGCTAAACCTTCAGCGACGGTACCGTCTGGGGAGGTAAGTCTGGCCACTTTTGTTTCTTCCTTGTGGCCGGGAAGCTCATCCTTTGGGTGCAGAACGTCGAAGTTTCGGGAAAGCGCAAGATACGAAAGAGAGCGGAGGATATGCTGGGAAGCGGAAGCCAGCACATCTGGAGCGATATCATGGGACAAGCTGCCAATCCAAAGCCGAAGAAACGGGATGAATGGGGGGATGATCCAGGAGATGATGTCATCATGCTGGACTACCCGCCACAGAGGCCCCAGAAAAGGGGGTCTGTGGAAGCCACTGGAGGTAAAGCGAGGGGCATAATGTCTGCTGTTACATTCTACATTCATGGTTTCAAGGATAAGCATGTTCGTCTGATTATTTCCCCGTTCGACACTCTAATGAGGAACATGAGCTCATATAGTATATCTTCTAGGAGAAGACTGTTCGTAGCGTGCTGTCATCCCATGATGCTACGATAGTTTCCAAACTCGAGGATCTTGAATCATATCGGGAATCTTCGAGACTTATCATCATAGTTTCTCACACGATTTCTAAACCGGATTGCCCCGAGTTTCCTGGTGCGAAGGTTGTTACAGAGTGGTGGCTCGAGACTTGTTTATACGAGTCCCGGTTCGTAGAGCCATCTGAGCACTTTACGAATACCCCCTTTGAGGAATTTCCCCTGACAGGTGCGTACTTGCGAATGTCGAGACCTCATTGTCATGTATCGGAGCCTGACGTCCGTTGTAGGGCTCTGGGGGATGGAAATTTGTCTCACGCGCTTTACTGGTATCAAATTGTTGCACTATCAAAATCTGATTACCTTACTGGGTGCGCTCTATTGCTGGGAATAGCTTGAATGGAGCAAAACTAACCTGCAAGGTATAGGGGGAAGCTTTCACGATGTGCTCGGGAAAGAGCGAACCTTACTCATATCCAACAGGCCAGCAACTGGTGACAAATTACAATTTGCACTTCGATACGATATCCCTGTGGTCTCGGATGATTGGCTGGAAGCATGTGTCAAGGAGAGGAGAGTAGTAGCTTTCACAGATTACCTTATACAGGGCCAGGGGCTGGCGAGCCGAGCGCGCGGCATGACTTGTACACCCAGGGAAGGCGAGGTGAAGAAGCGTGCACTGTCAGATTCTCGAAGTGTGGCTGAGGATCCCAAAAGGCTTCGACCGGCGGAAGACTCGAAGGGTAAGAAGACTCCGGCCAAGAAAATGCCACTTTTGGGGGATCGATTCAAGAAGAGGTCACCTGGCGGAAGGCTAGCGGCTGATTCGGTTACAAAGCCTGATGTGCCCGGAGGTAGAGGCGTCGGAGTCAAAGCTCTCAGCGGCGCGGGGCACGGCCGGGATGAAATTGTTGTGGATGATGTAGCTTGCTCTAATGAGAGGAACCAGCGTATTCTCCACGGCTGCATCATTGGCATTAGCTCAGGATTACAGGTAGCGGATAATTCTTGTTAGTTGTATAAACTTGACTAATAGGTCAAATTGTAGGGCCGCCGTGCTGGCTTGGATTCGATTGCCAGGTCTATGGGTGCTGATGTTGTGGGCTCCTTCTCTTCGAAGGACTCAACTCTAATCACTCATTTTATTGACACCCATGAGGTGACTCGGAAGTCGACCAGGGATTTCGAGGCGGCGAGGGCAATTGACAACTGCCACATAGTCTCTGCCGATTGGCTGTATAATAGTGAGAAGAATGGGAGGAGAGCTGATGAGAAGGCATACTGTCTGGCGCGACCGCGCGGTAGGGGGCTGGAGATGGATTTTGGCAAGAGCTCTTCGTTGAGCAGCCTTGATAGCTCAATGGTTCGTGCTCTGAGCCAGGGATTTGATTCGGAGCTTATGCCTCCCCAAGCGGCGACCGGGGGGTCCACAAGGGAGAGGGTTTTGGAAACGAAGGAAACACAAACCCTTCCTCGGATACGGCGTCCCATCTTCCGCTGGACGAGCTGCACGATCAGTCCGTGCACGTTTCCCAGGCATCCATCAGTGCTCTACCACCTACTGAGCGGGCTGATGCGGAGAGAAGGAATCTCGTGGGCGAACTCTTGGGCAAGCTCGGAAAAGATGCCATAACAAGCGTGATGGATAGGCGCAAGAGGCCGCGTGGTAAGCTTCTAGGAAGAGCTTCATCAAACCTATCTTCATACAGTAACAACAGTGCCGGTGGTTCACAGGGTGAGGGTGCTAGGCGTGGTGACTTTGATTTTAGCAGTCCTAGCAGGCACGAAGTGGAGCCTCCTATGCCTAGCCAGGCTATCACATACACAGATCCTGAGGCGGAGAAGGAGAGGAGAAATGTTCGAGCGAAACTCAGTGGTAATCCTGTTGTTGAAAGCCCGAAACCTGTAGGTCGTATCGGAACGGCGGTGGATGTTGAAGTCACTACCACTACGTCTGTCACGAGGAGGCGGGCAAAGAGGAAATAGGGATTGCTTTTTGTTCCCATCATCATCGTCCTGTCCTTTCTCCCATGGGTTTGTACTGTACTCTGGCTTAGCGACTATATTTGTGGGTGAGCTGCATTGTTTTGGGCGTTGTCTACTGTCTCCTGTGTACTGTACAGTACAGTACCCTAATGTATAATACCGGTAGTGTGTTAAACGGTGGGTGTTGTGTTAAGGTAGATAGCTGTGTTAGTGTTGCATCTTGTCGATTCCCGGCGCAATAAAATATGCCATTCTCCCTTTCCCCTTCGTACTTCAGGTGGCTTTTGGTTAATAGGAGAGCCTTTGTTCTGGGGACGTGTTGCGAGGGGACATGGCCGAAAATATTACTCGGGCGTAGCATTAGTATCATGCTGTAAATTTAGAGGGAAGGTGTGATCACTCTTGGTTTTGGTCGGAGATGGGCTGAGCAAACGCCCCAGCCGCCCACTACCGGACAGAATCCTGAACGATCCGGGCTCCGGGGTAAAATTGCCTTAGCTAAGCTAGGACCTGCGGTACGAGTACTCGTACTGTACTCGAGTACCCTACACCAGCAACAGCAAACGTCTATGATACGTTTGCATCCCTTGCCCTAATCCCCGGGGCAAATGCACCGATCAGACTACAGTAAGCAACCAGATAATCCTCCGCCGGGCATAAAACTTGCTATTGCGCCGAAGCCACCGCTACGCACATCATAACCGCTCCCTCTGCCCTCCTCCTAGAGCAACAGAAAGACGGTTCACGGAATTCACCTATTCTTACGGAATACGCTCCCGCAAGCAGCGTGACCATAGTTTTCCTTTACGACGATCAACATCTTAGCTGGCCCCTGTCCTGGCACCATCGATCTCTCTTAATGGCGAGCCCGGCAGATGACCGGGAACCGGAGGCGCCAAAGAAGAAGAAGGAGAAGAATAGAAGACCTGCAGGTACGGATCTTGTCCCTCCTTTTGTGCTGGTTTGTCGTCGGGGCATGTGGCTAACTGGACGGTGATGATTTAGACACACCATTTAGGCAGCAACGATTAAAAGCCTGGTAGTTCGTTACCCTTCCCCTCTTCTCTCTCCTATCCACCGTATCTAGCTTCCAAATAGCTTACCCTTATAGCCCCATCCTAACGCCACGAACCGTCCTCCCCCTCTTCTTCGCCGTAGGCATCGTCTTCGGCCCGATTGGCGGACTCCTTCTCTGGTCAAGCACCCGAGTTCAAGAACTCGTAATCGACTACACAAGATGTATAGAATCTACTAGCGAAGAGCTAACTACTGTCCCCTCCTCGGCCGTGAAATATTCCTTTACGACACCACTCGACCCCAAGGACTTGCCAAGATGGTCCGTGCACACCCGCCCAGCACTCTACGACCCGGAGGAGGAGGAAAGAGTCTGCATGATCGAATTTACCATACCAAACGAGATGAAGGCCCCGGTGCTAATGTACTACCGCCTCACAAACTTCTTCCAGAATCACCGTCGTTACGTGGTTTCACTCGACGAGGGGCAGTTGAAGGGAGAGGTGAGGAGCTACGATGACCTGGACGGATCGGGCGGTTGCACACCGCTGGCAGGCGCGGACGGAGTCCCGTATTACCCTTGTGGGCTCGTCGCCAATTCTATGTTTAACGACTCCTTCACTTCCCCCGTTCGCGTGCGGGATGGGATAAATTCTCCAGGGGAGGAGTACCTCATGACGAATAAAGGCATCGCTTGGGGCGCTGATAGGGAGCGGTACAGAAAGACGCGCTACCGTCCTGACCAGGTTATCCCTCCAAGGAACTGGGTCAAGCGATTCCCGCAGAACTACACGGAGGAGAACATGCCCAACATTCACGAGTGGGAGGAATTCCAAGTCTGGATGCGCACTGCTGGCCTGCCCACGTTCTCTAAGCTCGCCCTGCGAAACGATGCACAGGCCCTGCGAGAAGGTAAGTATAGGGTTAACGTCACGTACAACTTCGAAGTCATGAACTTCACCGGCACCAAATCCATCATGTTATCCACTAGGACAGTCATGGGTGGCAGAAATCCCTTCCTGGGAATTGCCTATGTGGTTGTCGCGGGATTGTGCGTGGTGCTCGGAACGTTGTTCACCGCGAGGCATTTTTGGAAACCCAGGTATTTATTTACCCAATCCTTCTCGTGCATTCTGGTTGAGCGGGGTTGTGGAAGCTAATGAATAATTGGAATTATCTAGGAAACTCGGCGACCCGAAGTACTTGACGTGGAATAACGAGCCCACCAGCGGGTCGCATGCCCCCACTCCTGCTGGGCAGGAGACTCAGTAGCTTTTCCTGTCCACCTTTCCTGATTTATTTTTATTTTTATTTTGGGTGTTTTTTATCGTCTCGGGTTTCAATTTCAATTTCGATTCCATCCCCCCCTAGTCTTCTGGGGAAAATATACACCGGTTTACTCTTTATTCTTCCCCAGTGTATCTTCAAAGAATTTGCCTGCTCTTCTTTTGCTGCGAAAGGTTCTTTTTCGTATTTTTATTATTTCCCCTTTGGTTTCTGTTCTTAATGCATTCACTTTGGACCCATTTTAGCCTCATAGTGATATCCGGTGTGGGGTATGAATAGATAGTCTTCGTGTTCATGAGCAATCACTCGGTTACGTTCAAGTAGCACATCTTTCCTTCAGTCGCATCACGGTCCACAAATCGAGTAACCCTTGATCTCAAACCCGCGCCCGGGGGCGAGCAGGCATTCGCTGATTCCATACACCTCTATCTATTGACATGTCTGGTAGCAACTACGAAATTTTTTTGCTTTTGATCCACCCCCCCCCCCTCCGAGCACACCTGATTTAGGGGTCTCTAAAATTCGTTGTCGCTGCTCCCCGCAATGATAACGTTGTTCACCTTCAGCACCATTCTGCAAAGTTGAGTTGCAAGGAGGAGTTGCTGGCGCTTTCCAATCAACGGGTCGATGACGAAGAGGTCTCGCATGTCGTTGTTTCCGGTCATCATACAGTCCACCCCCAGCCTTGAGTTGTTCTCGCGGACTTGTCGGGACTTGATGGATGCAAGAGTTTCTATGGGCGAAAGACCGGAGTTTTGGGCGAGGGCCATAGGGATGGCGTCTAGTGCGTTTGCGAAGGCACGTATGGCATATTGCTCTAGTCCAGGGGTCTATAGGACTGGGTTATTATAGTTTCGAGGTGGGGGTGTACGGAGCAGGGTTGGACATACCTTGTCTGCCTCCTCAGAAACTGCCAGAGAGCAAGAGATTTCTGCAGCACCACCACCATAGACAACTCTGTTGTCTTTGACGAGATTCCTCACAACACACAGAGCATCATGTAGTGCACGTTTAGCCTCGTCGATAATCTGTTGCTAGTAGTTAGCTAATCAGGCGCCAGGAGGAACGACCGGGTTAGGTTTGAACTAACCATTTTGTTACTACCTCTCACGAAGACAGTTACAGCTCTTGTGTTTGCACACTCCTCAATAACCAGCATCCGATCCCTCGTAGTTCCAAAGGAGAGCTCGCGAACGACACCAGCCCTCCCCAACTTCTCCGCCGTCAGGTCCTCGAACCGGGGAACAATCCTTCCATTGGTGGCAATGGCAATCAGCTCCAACTCTGGACCACCGACCCATCGAACGGCAGGCAATTTGTTCTGAAGTAGCAAGTGGTTAGCCTCATCGTCGAAACCCCACTGGCAGATAGCTAGATTGGCGCCGGTATCCTTGATTTGCTTAATCATCTCCTCGAATTTCGACTTTTCGTAAGCCTGGAGGCGCCTGAACTCTTCAACAGTAGTGATGTCAAGTTTGTGCTTAGTTTTGGGCTTGGGTGGCTCGAATGCACAAGTTAAGATGGCGATTTTGGCGTCCTCGACAATCCGTGGCATTTGCGGATGGGACATGTCCTTGTCGATAATGACACCCTTGACGAGCATCGAGTCTTCGAGAGCGCCGCCTACCTTCCCATCAACCTTGATTAGCTCAAAGTCGACGTCCTTGCGGTCTAGGTCGGCAACGGAAATTACGGCGTCGACGGCGATCTTGCTGAACTTGTCGTGTGCTATTGAAACGCTATGTAAAATCCATTAGTACCAGATGCATAATGCCGGACACCTAGAATTCTATCAAACATTTTGCTTCCCAAGGATGTTTTTGCAGCCCGTGTGAGATTATCGAGATTGGCCTTCGAGAATTGTACCACATCCGAGATCCGATCGAGATGAGCCACCGCAACATCACATGCCAAGTCAAAACCATCTGCAATCCGAATGGGATGAATTCCTTTGTCGATAAGGTCGCTAGCGGCCTCCAGGAGGGCTCCAGCAAGGACAACAACACCAGTAGTTCCGTCACCAATTTCGTCGTCTTGGGATTTGGATAGTTCGACAAGGAGTTTCGCTACGTGGTTCTCGATTTCCATCTGTGGAAGCAGTGGGTGTTAGAATTATTGGCATTAGACTTGGGGAGGGGAAGGGGGTGGTAGATGTAACCTGTCCGAGAATGGTAGCGCCATCATTTGTAACCGTAATGTCGCCATCAGGAGATATTAAGATTTTATCGAGTCCCCGGGGTCCCTAAACCACACAGGTATCAGAAACTTGCCGACCCTGTTTGGCTCATTCGTTTGAGCATACTAGGGAGGACTTGACAATATTTGCTACAGTCTTAGCAGCCAAAATATGGGACTTGACAGCTTCGGTGCCGTGTTGCCGCTTTTTGCTACCCTGGCTGTACAATTGAACGGGTCAACACTCAATCATCTGGTGATGTATCAGAGTGAGAAGAGGGGAGAGTAAGATTGCTCACTCTCTGACAATGATGAAAGGTCGGCCGTTTTCGTCCCGTACCATCTGAGCATTGCTCATATCGATCTGCATTTGGCCAGCCATGTCAGGTGGATGAGGGCAGGAGAGACAGTAAGCCTTTGTAAAGCCGGTCAGGAGCGGCCGAGCAAAAGGCAACGGTGTTAAGAAAGTGCAGTATGGATAGCTATTGTAGGTGAGAGGCTCGGGGGTGAGGCAGAGGATGGTGGTTGCGGTGGTAGGCAACTGAGGCTCGAGTGGCGGGGGGTTTGCATAGGGCCGAAAATTGTAATCCAAGCATGCGGGGCTGTAAGCCACAGAAAGCTGACCCGCCAGCCACCGCCGGTGCTTGTATCAAGACAGCCATCCGGTCTGCATTCACGATCCTCAGAAATAATATAACTTATAGCACAATGCTGGTATCCATCATACTTATGACTGCAAATACTATTTTCCACTGGGCTCATAGGCGGATACAAGAAGGCCACACCACAACCAAATCACAGATCTGCACAAACCGTTCCGCTGCCATTTTTTTCTTCAGACCCCAAACACGGGAGGAATAAATAATAAATAGATGAATAAATAAGGAAAAACTTTCGGAACAAAGCTGTTTCATGCATTCGTTTACCCACCCATGTCTATTCGATAATAATAATATTTGCATCAAGATTATGAGTTGTTGACCTGAAAAATTACCGGGAGGTTAGTAACCTGATTGTATGGATGTGCGAAGAGAGAGGAGAAATTATATACCTTTTCTTTTAGTTGGGCAAGGAACTGTCCCAAGCTAACCCCTTGGTCAGTTCTATCCTCGATCAACATGGTTTGGGCCCAGAGTCTCAAAGATGGCTCGCCGTCTCCGCGCACCACATAAAGGTGAGGAACAGTGATAGAGCCGACCTTTTTCGATTTGTGATCACGGCTCTTTTCAACAACTGCCCTGACACGTTCATTGAACTCTGACCCAGGGCCTTCAAGATGAGGGAGAGTGGTTTTTCCAACTTTGACATGTTCTACACCGGGCAGACCAAAGACATCCTGCACCAGCTGAGGAACGGCTTGTGGTCCAATCCAAAGGAATTGGACTTGTGTATCATCAATCAGGTAGCATCCAAAAGGAGCGAGGCGTTCTGAGGAAAGGCTCATGGCAGGGGGGAGGATGATTTCACCAGTGGTGGGGTCGGGAAGCCCGCAACTATCAGGCATATCATGGAGCGAATAGAACTTTGGGTGGATGTACTGTATCAACATAGGCGCCGGCAAAGTTGAAAGAAGACAAAGAGCAGCGGAGCGAAGATCGGTAGGGATTTGAGCAGATTTTCGGAGCCCGACCTAGTGATATTTGTTAGTGGGGGGTTTGGCAAAAGAATGTATGAGATACTTACGTGTTTCATCAAGCCCAAGAACAGGATTACAAGTCCCCTCAAATTTGCGGCGAACGAGAGGGGTGTAGCAGCCCCAAGATGACTGATCGTGAGCTCTTTTTTGAACGTGATTAATAGCTCAATCAATTTGGCTTGCAGCGCTTCTCTGGCTTGCTCCAATCCACTACTCAGAGTCTTCTCGACAGCCTTATGGCTAAAATACATGGTTATGGCTACTTGATCAGCGGACGCATAAACGTCCGAAAGATTCTGGGTGGTTGGTAGGGCTAGTGTCATAACGCGAATTCTACGCTCTCCATTGCAGGTTGTATGCAAGACCGCAGTCTGCATACAGACAAATTGCTTTCCGAGGGGCTCGTCGATAGCCACTTCGACAACGTATCCCTGATCACGAGGAAAGGCGGGGAAGGCGCAAAGATCGGAAGACCGGTTGAAGAAATTTCCGTAGAAGGTCTGCATCCGCAGTCCGGTTGTAGCCCTGACTCTCATTACGGCCTCGAGTGCTATCTCGGCCGATAAATGGTCTGAAAACTCTCTTGCGAACTTGATGGCGTCTTCGCTTCTGGTGGCATTCCAACCCGGATAGAAGTAGGTCTGACCGCCGGTGTATCTGGGCAGATTACTGAGTGAGGCGACATCTTGATAGCTGTTTGAGAATAAAAACATATCGACGGATACCTGGTTCTTGGAACATTCCACCGCAAACGACTTGTAAAAGCTGTTGGCTGTCTGTAATAATGAACTTTCCTTGCTGGTCCCAAGAAGCTTTTTGTCCTCCCGGTTCTCCAATTTTCCGGCTCCCAAACTGGGCAATGTTGCTGTCAAAACAATTATTTTACCTCCAATAGCTGAAATTAACTTGTGTCCTGCCTGTAGGGCACTACCCATACAGCTCGAGCCATTCTGCGAGTTCTGGAACATATCCTGGAGTTTCCCTAATAGGTTCTCAATGCCTTCCCTACACTCGGCCAATGGAACCAACAAGTCACCCGGGATTGGAAGGAATGGCTCGTCCAAGTCAGAAACAACGAGCATGCTCGGCTCCGAACTGTCCCTCGGAATGGCGAAATAGTGCAATGAACTATCAACACAGATAAACCCTAGCCTTGTTCGCCTGTCTGCATTCGGTATTCGATCTAAGCTTTCAAGAATTGTCCTAGCAGCTGTTGCAAGAAGGCCACACTGAACAGCACTATAGCTAACGTCCAGAAGAAAAAGATAAACCAGTGGCTGTGGAGGGCGAACCATGTACTCCTGAGGCGCAATAAATTCCACGACACTGGAGTTGAGTTCGGGCCGTTGCCATCGGTCCAAATTCTTTTGTGCTGCTTGGTCCCAGTCGAAAGCCTGCGGAATGTCATTGCTAAGGTTGCACATATTGCAGCGCCAGCGATGGCCGTGGTCCAAAAATGTTACATATGGATTGATGTACGATCTGCAGCGCCGGCAACGGGATATAACTGTATCAGATACAAGAGGGACTGGATCTTCGGCATCGTGGAGAGAGGTATAGGGCTGGATGATAAGAGCGAATGGAAGCTTAGACTTTTTCAGGAGGCCGTGAGCGGTTGGAACAGCATTGATGGTGGAACGCATATATTGAGGTGGGCAATTTGCATTAGGGGAAGTTGTGAGGGAAGCCTGCGAAAAGTATCAATATAGATTTCTTTAAATTTGTAGGCGGATCATACATTAGGAGGTAAAATTATTTCTGGCGGGGCAATCTCCAACTCGGCCACGTTAAATGGCTGCTGCATCAGATCTATAGTGAAAAGCGTATTGAGCGATTGAACTTTCTGAATGCCTCCGGCGGGGGTCAAGCCCATCTGTCCAAAACTCTGAGTGACACCACCCATTCCAGATGCTCCCACAGATTCGTATCCTCCTGCCGCGATATTTCCTGCACCGGCACCAGACATTCCCTGTGGCATGCCATAGCCTCCTTGAGCTCCCATCGCAGGAGGTGCACTCCCCATAGGTGAAACAAATTGGCTCTGTTGCTGCTCCGATGTATTCGGATAACCACCCATTGACTGGCCTGCGTAAAGAGGATTTTGGGCGGGTGAGAGGCCCGCATTTGCGCCAGCGCCAAAATCATATTGCTCCTCTGCATACCCACGTCTCTTGCCCCGCCCTCCATGGGGAGCCGGTGCGGAACCGGGCGGTGGAAGGGGGCCAGAGGCTTGCTGAGTTGGAGCGGGTTGGCCATAAGCCTGCTTAACATAGGGCGGGGCTTGGCCGTGGCCTCCGGTGGCAGGAGGAGATTGTTGCTGTTGTTGACCGTGGGGATCTGGTTGGGCATAACCTTGTTGGTAGGCATGTTGGTTTGGATTGCCATAAGGTGCAGCGCCTGGAGGTGGAGATGCCATAGCTGTTGTGTTGAGGAAATATAACTGAACAGCAGACCAATGAATAAATGAGATTATGGGGAAGGAGGAAAGAAGAGGGTGGTAGGGGAGGAGGGATGAAGGGGATGTCGACAAGAGAGGGAAGAAATGTTGGGTTCGGGGGCGGGCAAGTTCGGGACACCTGGAACCAGCTGTAGTGTCGATGTTTCTCCTAGTACGTCAAGTTAAGGGTGATGTGTGAAGATGGAGGGTTTGTGGCTAACTGCTGCCCCGCCGAGACTAACTTACCATATGAGGCTAAGTGACTGCGCCACCATTCAATATAAGGCAACAGTTGGTCTCAACTGAATCAACCCGCTTCCCGTTGGTGTATCATACTGTGCTCGAGTATAGGTATAGGCGCAGTGGTGTAGGGGCCCTGGCGGATTTTGAGTGATTTGGTTTCTGAGGATATATTATGGCAAATATGGGCTACCGTACTTGGGTACAGCGGGCACTTGGACACTAGCTGGGCGGGAGGGTGGTTATGATTAGGGAGGTTCAAAGCTCTCGGTACACGGAAGGTACTGTACAGGTGGTTCGGTAGAGGTGCGTTTTTTTTGGATATTATGGTACCTGTACACAGCAAACCTCCTTGGGAGGAGGGATGCAGTATACTAGTACGCCTGTTTTTGCGGGGTATATTGTGTACTCGGTTCGTAGCGTACTGAGAGCTTTGAACCTCCCTATTGGTAGCTGTTTGGCCTGGCGTACGGTACGTTCCACATTGCCGGGAGTAAGTTGCTATATCATACATAATACTACAGTGAGTTCACTTTTGGACAATAAAGCACTGGAATCTGTATTTCTTTTGTATTTTTGTTACTGGAAACTCTCGTCAAGGCAAGGACTTCATCCCGTTTTTTTGTATCCATAGCCTGTAATATATCACAGATCCAGAGGCTGGCTGGTTATTTCGGATTAATACATGCTCAGTGAAATCACCCCACTGAGTCCCTTGTTGTTGCACGGGAGCTTGTATTATATTATGAAACGAAACTATCTCCTTCCGGCCAGCCATTTGTCGGCTGCGAGGAAAACTTCGGCTTCACTAGCCAACTGGTTCTCCTTTTGGAGGGACTTGACTGCGGCGATAACCTGATTTAAGTCAACACCGCGTACCCCCCTTGGTAACCAGGGAAAGGAGTATTTACCGCGTCCCAGGTTCTAAAAGCTAGGTCAACATCTGCTTCAATGTCGACTGCCTGGGCGAACATTAAGGGGAGTTTTTCCTTCTGAGTGCGCCTCGTCACCTCAGGAATAGGGCCAGTCTCGTTCGAGAGTTCATCGAGGTAAGTTTTGGCCGCAATTCCCAATCCGGCACTCACTTCGTCGATAAATGGGATGCTGGTATGAGCAGGCAATTAGTCTATACGCTATACACAACGTGTGACCAAGGAGGAACTGAAAAAACCTACCCGAGACCTAACTCGGTCCAATCGGTTCGCTTGCCCCTGTCTGCGTCACCGTTCATTAATAGATTGACGAGTGTCATCTCAGCAAAACTCCGCATGGTCCTCGTGAACTTTGTAATGAAGGAATTGAAACCAAGAAGGTTTCTGCTGAGAGGGCCGGTGTAGCCGATGGGCTTGTGGCTGATAGGCACAAGGCTGGCAACGCGAGAGATAAGCATGATATATGTCCTCTCGTCTTCTATCCATATTGATCTTGGAGGTTAGCTCTTGTAGGGTAGTAACGATGGCCCAAGATGACATGGATATTAGGAAAATCACCTGTACCTCTAGTTGGTGCACCTGATAGGGAAGGTGAAAAATTATCGGGTTTGAGAACCTTTAAGCGCAGAAGCTCAATCCCAAGATATACCGGCTCATCCAGATTGTCGCCTGGGTCAAGTGTTGATATGGCTGCCTCAAGAGCGCGTCCCCAGGGGGTAAGAGAGTGATTCTCGCTGCCAATAAAACCTCGGAGTTGTAGCATGCGCCAGTGAGTATTCATGAGGATTTCGTCCCCGGTGTCCAAAAGCTACAATGACTGTTAGTTTTTTGAGGAGTTCTCAGTGAATTGGGTCGCCCACCTTTACTTCATCTTTCGGTGCAATTGTTTTTGCGGCAAAAGAGTCTGATTTCAAAGAAGATATCGCAAAGGCAAGGCCTATCGAACTCTATAATCGCCGATTAGCTTTAAGCGCCTCTATCATAAGGCTGCCATCTAAGGGTATGAAGGAATAGCCATACCCCATATTTTTCCAATTCTGGCTTGAAAACCGACTCCCTGACATTCCATTTTCTTGTTTGTTCTGCAGGCGAGACAGACACCTCTTTGTGGATCAATTTTCTTGGCTTGTTCTTGTCAAACCAATAGTAAACATTGATCTCCTTGTTATGCCAAAACCGATGCAGTGGATGTGCCAGCAAACCCAAGGCCTGTGTGCGCAGAGGGTTTAGGTTTTCCAAGAATTTTTTATATTCGTCGGAATCACCATTGTCGAACGGCGCAATTTCAATGAGCTCTCCTGTCGCTAGCATATCTAGAACTTGGGGCCCAATAACCCCTTTTGATAGATAATAGTAGAGTTCTTCGGGAAGTCTTTGCCCAATGAATTCGTGCACGTCCGAAGGCGCCTCAGTAAAATCTAATGGCTCTGCCTTGCCATCAGAGGTGAATATAGCGTGGTGCTTTACGGCAGCTCTGGCTTTTCGGTACCTATCCAAATACCCTGACTGCTGGATCGGCTCCGGATGGGTGCTGACAACAGTGGCGACATTCCGACATCGTTTAAGCAATTCTACTGAGCTCATGAAGGCGTTGTGGGGAGAGCCCTCGAAGGGCGGAAATGCGCGACATACTTCAGACCCCGCAAGCATACAAGCATCAATGAACATGTCGTTTGTCAACTGGAGGTCCGAGAGGAGTCTCTGCTTGTTAAGCCAGGTGAAGGAACCGGACTGTCCTGGAGTGAGGTGCACAATAACCTTCTCAACATCGAAAAAGAAAAGCTCGGAGTTCCCACAAATGGAATCAACGAATCCGTTTTTTTCGAGGTAAACTAGCTAGGCAGAGCATTAGAGGACCGCAAGGTTAAGTTTTGAATGAGACCTTGATATGGTACCTGAGGCCATGCCGAGTAAGGAGCAACCTGAAAGTCTACCGCGCACTCATGCAGAATTTTTATGAAATATTTATAAACCTCGTGTGGTTGCAGAGTTCCTGGAAGTTCGTAAGTATTGTGCAGAACAAGAGTACCAATGAGCACCGCGGGTTCTCTCACCAGCTGCACCGAAAGCCTCAACAGCCTCACTCGCCAGACCCTGATCATAGAGATCCCATGCTTGCGATCTTTTTGCCGGCCCGTCATCATTAACACCGAACGGTTTCTCGTTGCGCACAATTTTTAAGCCTGAAAAAACAAAGACGGGTTTAATCCCAGCTTTCTGGAAATCTTCAATGTCCCCCTCTACCGCATATCTCAGGCCGAAAGGAAACCCTCCTAGCGCAGTAACTAGAGGCTCCTTTGATGGAGAAGTGGTAAGCAATCGGAGGAGATAATGGTCCGCTTCGATCCCGATAGTGGTGTCCCTGAGGACAGAGAGCGGAAGTGTCTGTGACTTGTTATGGGACGTGGCCCAGACATCAAGGCTACGAACTGCAGTATGAGGATTAGCGCACGCGGCCAGAGAGGATCAAAGGATAGATTCATACTAGGCATTTCTAAACGGACTAGTCGAGACGGGCAAGCAACAAAATACAAAAGATGAAGAATACAGGGGCAGTTCTAGAGGAGGGACGAGGAAACGTATCTCCAGAGGAGCGGCTCAGCGCTAGCCCCGTAGGTGAAAGGGAGGTGGACAAGATCCTTGAGACGAACAAGCTACCTGCCCTCCCCAGCCAGTGGAATGAAGTGTTGGGGTTAAGAATGGAGCGGTCAATTGGAGATGATGTTCGGGGGTAAAGCCTGGCGCAACCTTGAAGGCTGGAGGGCTCGAATTCACCATTCGCCAAGACCGCCGTTTGGCGTTTTATTGTACCGTATCATACTCGAGTAGACGATTGAGGGACGGCCCCACACAGCAATATCTTGACTTCAGCCTCAGTTCTAGCAAAGCCTATTGAAACGCCCTAAGCCATAATCTAGTCTATGGCACCAGGTAAATTGGATATGGCGCCGGTATGATATATTATGTATCATATATAACGGATAGATACCCTACCCTACGAGACTACCGGTACCGTGATTGAAGTTGACGCTACCGCGCCAAAGTTTCCCCACGGTAGCTGTGAGACAGCACCACCAGATTATTAAGCCTTCAATACTCGCACTATCATCCTGTAATTTAATGCGATGACCGCGCTCCGGCAAAGATCATCCACTCGCATAATGGGCGCTGCATGGTACACCTTCCCCGGAACCACGCCCAAATTACCGTTGCAGCAGTGCCGGTAGACATTTGTTGTTTTGTAGCCGAGGTGTTCACACACACCGTACCGTATAATACGACTCGAGATACCATGGTAACTCAGCCGTCCCAACTCCCATAACCCATGGCACTAGTCACGGGTAATCGGAGTGTTTCTCGGGAAAGCGCCCCCGGTCTTGATGGTCTAATGCCACCAAAATACGGCGTAAATTTTTTAAAAAAGGAACACGTATGATGCTACTTGATGCGCTCTATCAGTTCCCCCTTTAGATCTGCAAAAGTATAACTCACTGTGGAGTTGTAAGGGCTTGGGGTTGGGGTATTCTGTATGAGGGGTGGGCTAGACGTTACACGCCAAAGCTCCTCTCCCACTATCGTGTCGAATTCAAAAGCAGGAGGGCAAAGGCCGGGTAACCCTGGTTTTCTTCTCTGAGATCTGATTAATAAGGCTCGGAACGGCCGCAAGTGGTAACTATGCTTATATAATCTTACCAAATTCATCATCTTGGCACGATTATTCTGCACTCGGATCAGTTCCAGCTCCCCGGTTACCTCCATAGTCGCCAGAGATACCGGTATCGAATTCACCTCGACCTCTCCCGCCTACATTAACAGCCTAGAGCTACAGTCCCCCACCATGTCATCACCCGTCTCTTTGATCCCATTGACGGATACTGAGGAATGTGCAGAAAGACTTCTTGAGGCAGCAGAAACACTCGGCTTTGTCTACATTACCCTCGAGGGCAGTAACATCCCACCGGAGAAGGTGGAGAGGATGTTTGAAATTGTTTGTTCCTTTGCGCTCCTTCCTTATTGATTCCACTTCACAAAGCTCGACTGATGTCTTTTTCATCTCCCAGTCCAAGAGGGTTTTCGCCTCGCCTAAAGAAGAGAAAGCCAAATGTCACATCTCACCCGACAACAAGGGCTGGAGCTCTATGCACACTGAGATTTTAGACCCTGAGCACCAACGCCGAGGGGATTTTAAAGAGTTAGTATACTGAATCTACGATACTCCCTTTTAATCTGTGCTAGTAACTCATGGGCGAATAGAGCATTTAATTTCGGAGAGTTCAAAGATGGGAAGGCCCAGCAGCCGCTGCCACCTGCGCTCCAAGACCACGAGTTGGAGTTGAACGAGTTTTCAGATTATTGCTACAACCTATGCCTCAAGCTATTAAGGTTGTTTGGTATGGCATTGAAGGTAAGTCACAGGCAAACTCCGCTAGGAGCAGCAAGCTAACCATAAATTCTAAAGATTGACGAGGCGGAAGGAGGCAAAGATTGGTTCACATCCCGTCACTCGCGTTCTGAAGGCCCCTCTGGGTCTACCCTTCGACTATTATTCTATCCGAGCTTAGGTGCCCATCCAGATTTTGACCCTAAACTTGATACTCAGGCTGGTGCGCATAGTGATTATGGCAGGTGCGTCTAGACCCTGCTTTAGCTACCTCCAAGCGCCGGTACTAACTCTCAACCCGAGCATCACATTGCTGTTCCAACGCCCCTCCGAACCGGGGCTCGAGATCCTCCATCCACATCTGAAGACCTGGCATCCAGTTCCTGTCATACCCAATGCGATCTTGGTCAACATTGGGGATCTCTTATCCTATTGGACTGCGGGTCTACTTCTGTCAACAGTACATAGAGTCGTGAGCCCTGATTATGGAACCGAGGGTCCTAAAGACCGTTATAGCATGGCTTTCTTCTGCCACCCAGCACACCCCACCCTACTGACGCCGGTTCCAAGTGAATTAATCAAATCTAGGGGTGGAAGGGGCGCAAATGACGCCGAAAGGACATTAACTTCTCTGGATCATCTCAAGAGCCGCTTGTCATCTACTTACGGATGGAAATCAGAACAAGCCTAGTCTGGGTTACACGGGGGATTGTTACTATTGAATCCCTCTGAATCGATGTGTTTTGTTGGTGCCATACACGCCCGGTAATGCCTGTTTGTATAGTTTGGATCTCTAAACCCTTCATAGCTTCTATTTCCACATCGCCAACGCCTCCTATATACCCGGATGTGATTCCCGAGCCAAAAATCCCATCGTGTTCACAAAATAAAACGTTCAACCTCCCCAGACATTCAACCCAGGTAAACATCAAGGGGAAGCGACAGCTACAAATGGCTCTACTCTAAGGGGTCTAACAGTAGCGAACATAAAAAAAAGAAAAGGGAAGTGGAGGGAAAAAGTTCATAACCACAAAACTCGGTCTGGGGGTGGGGATGGACTCCCTGGTAACTTGGCTGATAATTAATCGAGAAAAAGCCTTTGCTCAACCTTCCGAACGAGCTTGTTAGTTTGCTCAGCAAGGGTCAATGTTAGGATCTATGAGAAATGTCAGCCCTCCGAAGCAGCATGTGTTGGTAGGTAGATCTGTGGGTGAAGATGAATCTCACCGTATGCGGCAATATCCTCGCCAGGTGGGCGAAGTAGCCTTTATAGATTGCAAAAAGGCCCTCCGTCCGAACAGTCTTCATCAAACAATCAAATGCACCAGTGTACAGGTTCCCACTCTGGTTGTACATTCTCGACATCACGGTATCTTTCAGCCGCATCAGTGCCTGGCCGACACAAACAATATCATCGCAAACATCAGATCAGAGAGCAAAAGCCTACCAGGAGGATGCATAATACAACAGACCACAAACCCACTAACCGCGCTACTAGCAAGATGTAACCCTACCCCCTCGCGTACGCCAAGGTACTTCTGCAACCTCCTCTTCGCAAAAAAGTAGGTGGGCAATTGGACACTACTGCCAAAGCCAGTCCTGACCATAGCGGAGCCCACACCCCTATACAATCCCTTGAACCCCTCAGTTCGACTGATAGTCCTGAAGCCGTCAACGGCATTGCGGTACTTATGCTGCGTACCCACGGGCAGGAACGGGGAGTACGATTGCAGCCGCGTCTTCACAAGGAAGAACGGCGACCCAACCATCGCTCCCAGGATGCCGGAACTGGCGCCGGCGAAGACATTCACACCGATGGATTGGTAGTGTGGGTCGTTGTGGATTAGGCCTGTGGCCGAGCTGCGGATAGGCTCGTAGAAGCCGAGACGGCAGCCGTTCAGCATGGTTTGGTAGCAGTACTTTGGGGAGATTGGCTCGTTAATTTTCGAGTTTACTATCGGGAGAGATATGTGGAGGGAAGGGAATATTCACAGCACTTCCTAAACCAGCCATTAAGCCGCGCGGTCCCTCATTTTTCAAGATCACTCGAACACCCTGGAATACACCAGTGTAGACTCGTTTCGTTTGCGACTTTGCTGAAAGTTCGCCTTGGAGTTGGAGTCTGGCCACCCCCACAACACTTTTTGTAAGCACTCTTCTCTTTTCCCTACTCCCGCAGCCCTTCTCCCCTACCCGAAGCCGGTGTATGCGCGCATGTATGTGCGTGTGCAATGTGCGATTGTGATACACACCTCGTTTTCACCGTCTCGAAGCCGTGAGTGACCGTTACTGCTCCGCAGGCTGCGATTCCACCGGCGATAAAGCCGCCTAATGTCGTAGACATTAGGTTTCTCTAGGTAGGCGGCGAGGGCAATAGATGTGGGGTGGTGAAGATAGTATATACGAGAGTAGGGTTTACTGGTACTGACACGGCAGTATGACGGGGAAATTTTGTGAAATTTTATGTTATTTTGCGGTGGAGCGATGGGTGGTGGTGGTAGTAGTTGAGAAAGAAGATCATATCGGTAGTGAATTGGGTCCTTGGGAACTGTTTGATTTTTTTTCTTTTTTCTCTAGCTTAGTGTCACCATATGCCATGCCAATTGGAATTACCGAGGGTGATGGTAGGGCTGACCGGTACCGGTATACCGGTAGTATGATATCATACCGAGTTTCTGATATCAAACTTATTCGACCTTGAGTTTGAAAGGAAAGAAGGGAGGGGGACAGATACCGTGTTGAATAGACTAAGGTGGAAGATTGTCTCTGCCCTGCCCATATATCACCCTTCTAGCATATTAGACTTTGAAGGCACTCAAGTCCGGGGGACGGGACCAGCAAGTCGTGGGCCAGTCTGCAAAAAGTATGCTATGATCCCATATCATGCATTGACACCTTTTTTGAGAGTGCTGGTGCCACCCACAAAAAGGCTAGACAAGGAATGAGTACCTGTAGTTTTAGTAAGGTTTCCTTGTGGATTATCACCCTGGGTGCCTTTTATCTTAGCAGTGAAAGCGGTGAACGTTTTTGATTCCCCTTCTGGCTCGACGGGGGAGTGCGGGGAATGAAGGAAGGAAAGGAAAGGAAAAAGAAGAGGAGAGAAGAGAGGAGAAGAGAAAAGGGGAAACAAGACTTCAACGAGAGTTGGGCTGTCTGATGTGCTGCACCGGACGGATACCCTGCATGCTTTGACACAGAGCCTCAGTACACATCGTCACACACGGGCTCAAACCTAAGCTCTCGCGGGAGCCAATACGGCATCATGATATTCTGTGTTCGAGTACCGGCACACTGCTTGACCTCTTCCGCTGAACAAACGAACAAACACCCCCTGCACCCGATACCCCCCCCATCCACCACAAACAATCTCCCTACTTGAGTTTGTGTGCTATATATACGTATCCGCATCCACCAACCCTTCTCCTCAGAACAAAGAAAATCAACCACTGGCCCGCACTGAACAGTGCTCCAACAAGCCCTTTCCCCTAACTCCATTTCAGGTCAAAACCCACCCTATAACAGTGGATCACTGTCGTAATGGCAGCAGCAAACCCCCTCCACCGCCAACCAGAACTGACGAAGCTCAGCGAGACGATAGCCCGCTACCGCCCTTCAAAGGCATTCTCCAACTTCGCCCAAGGAGCAGAGGTGACCTCCTTGGACTTTGACGACACTGGCGAGTTCTGCATAGCTACGGGAGATGACGAAACGCTGCAACTGTACGACTGTAAACTCGGGAAGCATAGCAAGACGCTGTACTCGAAGAAGTATGGGTGTCATCTTGCGCGGTTCACGCACTTGCAGAGCAATGTGATTTACGCTTCCACCAAGGAAAATGGTATGGAATACTTACCGCTACTGCCCACTACTCCCAGGGTATGTAAGGTAATGTCTATGGCAATAACTAACCCTCCTGCCTCCTACAGACACAATCCGCTACCTCTCCCTCCACGACAACAGTTACATCCGGTACTTCAAGGGGCACAAGCGGCCCGTAACCTCCCTGGAGGTTTCCCCCGTCGACGATCAGTTCATATCCTGCAGCAACGATGACACCGTCCGAGTCTGGGACCTGCGCTCACACAATTGCGCGGGCCTGCTAAACATAACCGCCCCCTCCCTCGCCGCCTTCGACCCGTCAGGCATCATCTTCGCTGTAGCCGCGCAATCCACCGGCTCGATCCTCCTCTACGACCTCCGCAACTACGACAAGCAGCCTTTCACCACATTCTCTCTCGCCGACAACACCTTCCTGTCGCAGTACTCCTACCCGCCCCGCATGCCCGCCTGGAGCAAGCTCGAGTTTAGCAACGACGGGAAACATATGCTCGTCGGAACGCGCGGCCACGCTCACTACGTTGTCGATTCGTTCGCTGGGGACACGGCGCAGTTCGTGTACAGGGCGAAGCGACCCAACGGGCCGACGAGCCCAAAGAAGCTCGAGACTTCGGGGGATGTATGCTTCACCCCGGACGCCAGGTACCTCGTTGGTGGCCAGGGCGAACGCGGAGTCGTCGTTTGGGACTCGTGGATGTCGGCGGACGAGAAGAAGACTTTAAAGCCATTTATCGAGCTCGCGGAGAACACGAAGAGCATGGCGTCGGTTGTCTCGTTCAACCCGAAAATGAACCTTTTCGCAACGGCGCATAAGGATGTGGTATGTTATTATCTCTAATTCCCATGATTACGCTCCCCCCCCGCCCCCTCACTCTGGGAATTGAGATTGAACGCGTGCACTGTTTTACACACATCTACAAAAACCGTGGTCCCCCGGTTTTTTATATTGACCCCCCCTAGCTGACTCCTACCCTCATGGTAGACATTCTGGCTACCAGAGCAACATGCCCCTGACGCACCATCTCCAAGCGCAGTGACAACTTCTGCTCGATAGATCAAGCCACTCTTTTTCTCTCTCCCGGTTTCCTTTCATTCTGTTTCCTCCGAGTTAGCGGTAGTCAGCCTACTTTTTCACGAGTCCTGTGCTTGACTCTCCGGACTTTGAGCATGAAGCAGTGAGATTTGGATTTGGCAAAATCAGGTTCAGCTTCTCCGAGGGAGTTCTTCCCTTCCTTTCATCCCATCCCTACCTTCCTTCTTACTGAGTTGGATTGGATTGAGTGGGCATTGTACTGCAGCATAGAATTATTATTTTTTTGTTTTTCCTCAATTGCTTATGAGCGGGAGGAAGGAGGGAGGTAGGGAAAGAAGGAAGGTGGCTAGGGAAAGCGGCGGGGCACGTACGGGGGTCTGTGCCACCAAAAAGTACAGTGCAATACCAGTAGACTAACATAACGGTAGCACCGTGCGAGTACAGTACAGTACTCGACGATTTTTTAAGTCACCGGAATGTAAGTTATGGCTCCCATAGTGTGAGTTATGTATGTGTCACATACAGGGGTTTTCCAAAACTTCTAGAGTATAAAAATATCAAACGGATGACAGGACAAGAGTGGTGATGAAAGGAAATCAAGAAGAAAAGTAAGAATAGAGAGGAAAGCCAGAGGAGAAATGCGAAAGCTTGAAATGTAGAAAAGAAAAAAAAAAAAAAAAGAAAGAAGAGAGAGAGAGTGTGTGTGTGCAAGCTCAAGCATGAAGGTTATTTCTTCCTTTAATACTAATACATTTACTAAGAATACTAGGTAACTTAGCTATCTCTTTATTAATATCATCAATAGTGATTTCGTCCCATTCCTCATGTAAGACAATCTTAATATGCTGCTAAGTTGTAATATATTCACAGCCTTGGTGAGTCTGAATTTGGCTTTTCATCATAGTCCAAATATGGTCTATTAGGTTCAGGTCAGGAGAATTAGAAGGCCAATTTATCTTTTGAACTTCTTTATTTTTTTTCCTTTTGGTATTAGTATAAAAGGAGTCAAAGGATAGAGCATTATCTTCCATAAGGATAAAGTTGGTATTTAGACTAATTTGCTTTCTGCACTCAGGCCAAAGAAGTGGTTGAGCAACACACTTCACATACTATCAGGAATCTACTCCTTTCCTATCTCCACACTTATATCTTTCTACTTGTGCCAAGGTTGCAGCTAGGGTGCTGCAACTCCCAAAAATTCGCTGGCTCAGTTTTTGGCGGTACTCATCCTGAGTGCCCAACAGCTCAATGTCACTGGACAGCTCAATGTCATTTTGGTAGCTCAACCTTACTTTTGTAGCTCAATACTATTATTGTGTCTGAATACAATTTTTTTACTCTATATCATTTATGTTACTTAGATATAACCTGTTACTTAATAGAAATATTTAATTCAAAATACCTTGATAGTAAAATATAATATAATATTTATTGTAATTTAATTATAGGTAGTATGTTGGTATTACTTCTAATATATATTAATTTTTCTCAATTGCATCAACTGCCTAACTTACATCACTATGGATTTTGATATTATCTTTTTCTATTCTTTGGTTCTGTCTCTTTGCTTGACATACATCTTAAACTTATTCAATAGTGGCTTATATGCTACATTTTCAGCTCCGTCTGTTGTATTTTGGGTCCTTCTTAGTTGTTGTTTAACCTTTCAACCTGCAACTCTTCTTTTCTCTTTAATATCTGATAAGCCTCAGATATAAAGATAGCACACCTGTCACGGCCACCCGGTGTACTGGACGTGGAGGAACATTGGACTTTTGGTTGCATATATCGGCTGTGGTTTCGTTGGTTGCATTGTAGGATTTCCTTTGTATTATGATTGGGATAGGTTGCCGCGCGACGGAACCTGGCGGAACATGACGGAAGGATCGCGGCTGCGCGCGACGCCAAGGACTTTCTTTTTGTATTAGTGATCATGGAGGATTTCCTATCTATATAAGGGGGTGTACCCCCTTATACTTTATGTTCTTTACGCAATCTGGTAATCTCCTTCGGACACCTGTACCTAGGAATTACACTCTCTTCTACTTCGCGTCCTCCTGAACCCCTGGACCCTGAT